TTAAACAGGGAAGAGGTGAACATGGAAAAAAAAAAGGGAGCTATGTCCTTTCCAAACAGATAGTTTTACCCCCTTCTATCTCATTTACCGCTCTTAACTAATTCCATTGATATTATTAACCCCATATCACAGAGTTTCCCAAGATTTCAGAGATATCAAGCAGAACTGAGATTTAAAATGAAATTGTCTGAACCCAGAGTGAGTGTTTCCCTCATTCTATTGAGTTTCATTGAAAATAGGATGAAACCAAAATTTTAAAGGAAGAGTATAATTTGTATAAGTTGATAGCAAACAGGAATTTCTGGTTGGGAAAAATATCTTTGAATATTGATATCTTGAAAGAACCTTGGAGAATCATCTGGCCCAAAGTATCAACCTTAAACATGAGGGCAAGAGACAGCAAGAGCATATTTAATGTAAATGGTAGCATAAGACACCATCTGGTCTCTGAAGCCTCGGGCCAGTGGGCTTTCGGAGGCATCATGAGCAAATCACTTTTCCTTTTCAACGGATACCTTCACCGTAGCATATGCTCTTTGTGGGTTCAAGAGTCTGACCTTTTGAACAATACTGAATTTACCTCTCACTCTTCCTGTTTTGTGCCCCCCCAGAGACCACAGAGCTTGGTAGCAAGAAGGAGCTTAAGTCCATGCCCTTCATCACCTACCTCTCCGGTCTGCTGACGGCCCAGATGCTGTCAGATGACCAGCTCATCTCAGGTGTGGAGATCCGCTGCGAGGAGAAGGGCCGCTGTCCATCGACCTGTCACCTTTGCCGCCGTCCAGGCAAGGAGCAGCTGAGCCCCACACCAGTGCTACTGGAAATCAACCATGTGGTACCACTTTATACCCTCATCCAAGACAATGGCACAAAGGAGGTGAGCTCCCCTGGTCCAGCTGCTAAGTCAAACCTGACCAACCCTCCTGACTCCTACCCTTGTGGACCCTTTGTCCCTGGGATTGTCATCACCATCATCATGATTGAGAGCATTTATTGATTTCTCACTGTGTTCTAAGTACTTACATAGCTTGGTAACACTAGCTGTTGTAACTTATAAATCTTTGATTCTCAGTGGCTTAATATGATAGAGGTTATTTTTTTTTGTTTGTGCAGGGTCTCAAATAGATGTTTTTGATTGATGGGTGGCTTTACTCTGAGAAGTGGTTCAGGGACCCAGTCTGTTCCCAGGGACCAGCCCGTTCCTTCTTGTGCTCCCTCAACCTGATATTTCCATGGTTGCTGTAGAAGGAGAAAGAACATGAACATGGAGGGTTGCATGTGAAAGGTTTAAATGGACCAAGCCTGAAAGTGGAAAACATCATTTCAGCTCCCATTCTATTGATTAGAACTCAGCCATTGTCCACATCGGTCTGTAATGAAGGAAAGGGAATGTATTCTATCTATGTGCCTTGAAGAAGGAGGCATGGATTTGGTGAGAACATAGCAGTGTCTGCCTCAGTACTGTACCTGGATTATCTCATTTAATCTGTCCTCCAGATCTGTGATTTACTTACAAATACTGGATCGATACTTATGAAATTGCTGACATCTGACCATTTTTGATTTACAAAAATGGCAATTCCATATGGTTCATCCTAATATTATACCTATGTTGCAACTAAGGAAACCTCAGAGATATTAAGTTATTGGCTCAAAGTAGATCTGATCCAGAATTTACATACTTAACCATGAAATTATATCTCCTCTTTTTCTCTTCTCTGTCTCTCACTGTTAGTTACAGAATGTCAGAGCTTGAGGGGATCATATAAATAATTTAGTTCACTGGTTTGCAAATTTGTGTTCATGGAACACTTTTTTCCAAATGAAATCTTTCAGGAACCCCAATCCATAAAATCAGGAATAGTGATGCCACCACTTCAGTGAGGAAAGGAAGGTGGATAAAGCACCTCCTACTTGGTGCCTACTCTTCCCTGTACAGCAGCTCCCAGACAGCCCTGGACCTCCAAAGAGGACAATCTGGCAAACCACTGACTGAGTCCATGGGGACTCCATGGATTATGTGCTTCTCCTATGGCCTTCTGTTGGGCTAAGTGCAGGAGAGTTTTGAATGGTCAGGTAGGGCTTCATAGAGGACAGAGAAGTGATGGAATAAGGAGGTGGGGAGAGTGTCAGACAGATGTCCTGAGGAAGATGAGAACATAGTCTGTGTAAACACCAAAAGAAATTCCCCATGACCAAGACCAAGAGATGGAGAGACAGCCAGGGTGAGGCCAGAGGGGTTAGAAGGGGCCTGATCATTTAGAATTCTGCAAGCCAGATAGGTCATGGATTTTGGACCCTATCCTGAGGGCACTGAGATGATGAGGATACATGATTAGCAGGAGGCTGATGAGATTGAAAGAGCCCTAAGTAAACAACCCAAGTGCCCACGAATGGGAGAGCAGTTAAATAAGGTGTGAGATATGCATCCAACAGAATATACCACAACAGTCAAAATGAATGAACTGTAGGGACACCTGCTAATCTGAAATGAATGAACATAATATTAAGTGAAGAAAATAAATCCCAAAGATAGATTTTTACGTAGTACGATGCCCTTTCCCCTTTTTTAAGTTAGAGTGCACACACACACATACACGCACCTCTAGTACACTGCCTTCTAGGAATAAATACAGATGTGATAAAACTTTATGAAAAGGGAAACAAGGAAATGATGTACATA